CAAAACCCCAAGAACTTCCCTCAAATGCTCCTCATGCTGCTCTCTAGATCTCGAATATACCAGAATATCATCGATGAATACAATCACTGACCGATCCAACATCGGCCTGCATACCCTGTTCATGAGATCCATGAACACAGCCGGGGCATTGGTGAGCCCAAAAGGCATCACCACAAACTCATAATGCCCATATCGCGTCCTGAACGCTGTCTTCTGGACGTCCTCGTCCCGCACTCTCACCTGATGATAGCCCGACCTCAAATCGATCTTGGAGAACCAAGATGCTCCCTGTAACTGATCGAATAAATCGTCGATCCTCGGCAACGGGTAACGGTTCTTGACCGTCAGCTTGTTCAATTCTCGGTAATCAATACACATTCGATGCGAGCCGTCCTTCTTCTTCACAAACAGAATGGGCGCTCCCCACGGCGAGCTACTCGGCCGAATAAACCCCTTCCCCAGCAGCTCCTGAAGCTGCGAGGATAACTCTTGCATCTCTGGAGGTGCAAGACGATAAGGCACCTTAGCGATAGGCGCGGCCCCCGGAACCAAATCAATACTGAACTCTACTTGCCTCACGGGAGGCACACCCGGTAACTCTTCGGGAAAAACATCTGGAAACTCACGCACCACCGGAACCTCCTCCACTGAACTCGGTCTCTCGGAGATCACCGCGTATCCATCACATATGCCACAAAACCCTTACAGCCCTGCTGTAAACACTGCCTCGCCCTAGCGGCCGAACAAAAGGCTGATCCAGAACGTGTACCCTCGCCGTACACTGAAAGAACTCCCCCACTAGGATCTCGTATGGTCACCAGCTGACGCTCACAGTCGATAACCGCGCCGAATCGGCTCAACCAGTCCATGCCCACAATGACACAGACATCACCCATCGCAATAGGAACCAGATCAATCGGAAACTCAACCCCAAAAATCTCTAACACACATCCCCGGAGGACCTCCGTGGCACAAATCACTCTATCGGCAGCTATGGAAACCCGCAGAGGCCGACTCAATGCCTCACGACTAACACTGATATGCTGACTAAAGGCCAAAGATACAAAAGACCGACTCGCACCCGAGTCAAATAACACTAAAGCAGGCACAAAGTTCACAAGGAAGGTACCTATGCATAACACAATATAAGCATAATATCTCAACACCAAAATAAATACATAGAAGGAAACGTACCAGCCACAACATCGGGTGCAACGCGGACCTCCTCCACAGTCAGCTGAAAGGCTCTCCCTCGAGCTCTCGGCGCCTCGGCCTTCACGGCCCGACTCTCTGTAGCTCTGATGGCGGCAGGAGCAGATCCTTGAGATGCTCCGCGCAACAGCGGACACTCCGCCTTCCGGTGTCCGGTCTGGTTGCAGTGAAAACACACTGCAAACCCCTTGGGGCAGTCCTTGGCCATATGCCCCTCCTTGCCACATTTGTAGCAAGATCCCGCTCGACAGACTCCATCATGACCCTTGCCGCACTTCCCGCAAGTGCGGCCATTCTGGTTTCCGGGTTTGGGATCAGCGGGCTTGGCCCGCTTGGCTGCCGGCTGAGACTGTGCCGGCCGCCGATCCCTCCCCAGAGACTCCGCTTCCTCCCTGGCCCGTGTCTCAAGCTCAATCTCCCTCTTCCGGGCATTTTCCTGAAGCTCAGCAAATGTCTGATACGAGGAGTTCGCGGCGAACTCCCGAATATCCCTTCTCAATATGCTCAAGTAGCGGCTCATGCGTGCCTGCTCAGTGGACACGTGCTCCGGGCAGAACATCGCCCTCTCATGGAACATCCTCGTGATCGTTGTAACTGACTCAGTACCCTACTTGAGGGTCAGAAACTCCTGTGCCAAACGCTCCCTCTCCACCTGGGGAACGTACTCATCCCGGAACATGGTAGTGAACCTCTCCCAGGTCACCGCCAAAAGCTCAGCAGGTGTAAAATGCGCCGTCACAAACTTCCACCAGTCCTTCGCTCCCAAGCGAAGCTGGTTCAGCGCGAACCGAACCTTCAAATGCTCAGGAGATGAGCAAGTGAAGAAGCACCCCTCCATATCAGATATCCACCTCATAGCTGCCACCGGATCCTGTGTCCCATCAAACTCTAGTGGTTTGGTGTTGCTGAACTCCCGAAACAGTGACGCATCACCTCCCTGGGGTCTCGCCACAGCGATCGCTGCGGTAGCTGCTGCAACAGCAGCCTCAGAAAGAGCGGCGTAACGCTCGTCAAATGTCTCAATCAGTGCGGTCTTAATAGACTCGAACATCTCTGGTATCTCAGCCCTGATGACCGCAGCCACCTCCTCATGAATGATCTGTCGAATCTCCTCATCACTAGCTCCGGCACCCTCCGGCATATGACGTGTCCTCACCATGATCAACCTCTGAAATACAACATGTGATAAATTAGAATTCACTCGAGCATACTCACACTCGACAATCCATCCCCTCCTTGATTCTTGGTATCCCCAAAGATTCTTATTTGGACCGTGCACCGCCCCGGTGCTTTAAGTAGTATAGGCCCAATACTACTATCCACACCGTCTCAGTACACACCCCAAATCTTCCTCTTCGGATACCAAATCCCAAGTACTCTATCATGCGTAGACCACTCTCTAATAGATCTCTCATAAGCCCCTCGCTGCTACCTACTCACTCTCAAGCATCTCATAGCAGCTCACCTCTCCCTAGGCTAAGGCATCACAAATCAGGCCACTCTAGTCCTATTAGCAATACCTAGCCTACTCTAGCATGCAGATACATCATATCAATATCAATATTACATAAGATAAAGGTATTTTGGGAATTCACCGTTCGGGCGCTGACTGATCGTACACACGTTTCTTCCTGGAATTTGTTTCTTTTTCAAGAAAATCTTTTACTCTTAGAAAAGTTAGGTTTTCTTTTGAAAATATCTTTCCAAATCCTCAGTTTGAGTTCAAATACTCCCGAAGGTGTACCCGAATCCCTAAAACCAAGGCTTTGATACCAAATTGTAACACCGTAAATTTCAAAACAAATTTTTCAAACTTTCATAAAACACAATTCAATTAATATTCATAAAACAACCATATTAATTATCCAATTCAAGTCAATACAAAATCCCAAGATCACAAATGTCAAAAACTCCGAGTGTGTGTGTACGGATCAAGCCAGCGCCTTCCCGCGGTCGTCACTAGTACCTGAAACAATAACATCAAACACTGTAAGCACAAAGCTTAGTGAGTTCCCCAAAATACCACATATAACACATAATAGCCACTCGAGGCTATAACTCTGTGGGTCCGTGCACCCAAACTCTGTGAACCCTCAGGTTCTAGCTCTGATAAACATGCACCACATAAATCACATAGAAATAATGTAGTACAACACATAACATACATAGCATACAAATACTTTATCACATAACTCTGGTTACCTACTCAAGGTAAGGTATAGTGAGAAGACTCACCTCGTGTATCTCGGTATCTCACGAATCCTGGAAATCCCTCGTGCTCGATCCTCCGAGCTCTAATCCTCCTATAACATCATATGTCTCTAGTTAACACTTTATATCTTCTAAGGTTGACTATCCCTAAGAAGTCAACACAGGTCAACTTCGGTCAACGGTCAACGGTCAACTTTGACCGGACTCGGCGAGTGCGCTATGGCGACTCGGCGAGTCTAGACGTTTTCACCAACTCTCCAAAATTCTCTTTCTACACGTCGAGTATTCCCCCCCCCTCACTCGACGAGTTTCACCTGGAAGAATCGCGGGGCCACCTCGACTCAACTCGTTGAGTCTCAAGAACAACTCGGCGAGTCCCAGTTCGACTCAGTCCACCTGTCGTCCCTCTCCAACTCACCCTGACTCACTGAGTCAACCCATGACTCAATTGGACCACTCACTAGGCGAACCCAAGGCAATCTTTAAACTACTCGTCGAGTCTGATGAACAGACTCGGCGAGTCCATGCCATGCAACCACCCCAACTTGCTTCTAAGGTCAGATCTGCTTCCACAATCTATAGATATGGCCTCCCTAGACTGATTCATCACGTAAAGCTTCTATCTTGGTGCCCATAACACACCCCATGGCTCATAACTAGAGTTTTGACCTAAGGCATAAGGATTCCAATCCAAAACCTCCATTGATTCCCAAAAATCTTGGGTAAAGGGACACTCTGGACCTCCAAGGGTCCAGATCTATGGTTTAAACCACATAAGGGACCAAGGGGGCACTAGATCTTGCCACAAAAGGGTTCAACAAACCCTAAATCTAAATAAACATCAACAAGGAAGAAGATAACTCGAAATTATTACCACAATAGTGATGCTATGGACTCCAAACTCTCAGAAGTGGCTCCACTTGCTTTCCCTTAGCTAGTTCTCTCCTTTCTTGCAAAAATGACACCTCCAAGATCAATAATGGCCTTCTACTTTGCTCCAAATGCTCACACTCGATTAGGGTTTCACTCAAGGGACTGGTGAGCACAAATGACGGCCATAAGGCCCCTTAAATAGGTCTCAAACCCGAGAAATTAGGGTTTCATTACACAGCGCTGATTCGCCGAGTCCATATCCTGGACTCGCCGAGTCCAGGCGCGATCCCGCGACCAGATCCGCGACCCTACTCAGCGAGTCTGAGCTCCAACTCGCCGAGTCCCCTCTCAAAACACCAAAAACATAAATATACAAGATACCTGAAAAAATCCGGCTGTTACAACACGCAATGCGTATCAAGAAAGCCCCTGTCAAGAAAGGCCATGTCATAAATGAAGATGACACACATTTTTGCGTATCATAATTTTAAATGTTTAAAAAAATATTATTTATAGATTTACTTATTTTCAAATTAAATTTGTATTTAATGTTTCATAATAGAAAATAAAATATCATATACAAAAAATAGAATCCTTACAATTCTATCTCTTACAATATATAAATTTGCATCTAATCTACTATGTACATCAAATTCCAACTAAGTAAAGTTGCATCTTGCCTTTCATAATTTTTAAGGCTAATGCTCTAAACAGATGATTATATGGATAAGCAGTTGTACATTGGCCCATCTCACTCAATAATGACTTAGCCAAATTCAACACACTTTCCAAGAGCTTTCTCATGTACAACAAGGCCAGTTCCAGTTCCTTCCAACCCTACACAAAGTATCACATCCAATTAGGAAGTAAATATAAGCATATCTTACAGGGGTAAAATGGTAATTTTTTAATTGTATAACCAAACACAAATTACCAGGCAAATACATAAGAACAAGAGAATCTTTTAGAGGCTTGTTACAGGCAACAGGGCAAAACCATGCTGAGATCAAGTTTGGAGATGATATCATCAAATGAAGGCCTATTGTGCATGTCGTCATCCCAACGTCTTTGTACCAGAGATAGTAATCTTGGTGGTGCACCTGATTCAGTCCCTGCAAGACCAGGTCTTAACCCTTTAGACACAACAGCTGTTGTTAGTTGGTTGTCAGTGTAGTTCATTTCCAGCACAGTGTGAGCCTGGCATTAGGGGATATTATATTATATTATTATTTTATAACTTTTACATATAATACACCAATATATTAAAATGAAAATACATAGCTATTTCTTGTATTTAGCTCGATTAAAGCAAGAGAACATGAATGTTCTTGTGGAACCTAAGGTTCACAATGTTTTTGCAAGAATACCAAGATTTGGGTTTGTACAAACTTTTTGCAGTCAAAATACAAGTTATATAATGCAAGAAGTAGCATTTCTTTGTGGGAAAGTAGACAAATATGCTTTTTTTTTTCAATTATGAGATTATGACATGGAATAAGAGAAAGAAATATATAGATTTTCTTTTCAAAATTTTGGAGATAATACATGACCAAGCCGTCTATGCCATCAAAATCATGCTACTTTTATAACCATATACCAAAACTTTGTGATAATTTTCAAGCAGTAAGTCATTGTATCCATGCCTATGTGATGTTTCCATTTACTATTCTCTCATTCAAACAAAAAAATTAGAACTCACATTCTTGCTTTGATTATATAGCTCGTATATAAAAAAATATACGATTTACAACCAAGTACAAATACATACAACGTATTTAAAGCTTCATTTTTAGAAGAACGGACAAAAGAAGAAGACTTGTAAGAGGATTTTGGGAAGGGTTTGGGATTTTCACTGAGTGCCATCTTGATGTAATTTAGAAAAGAGCAGGCAAAAGAAGAGGATTTAAGGAAAGATTTGTTAGAATATGAAGACTTACCACAGTTCCAAACAGAGATTATTAATTAATTAAAAAAAAGGAAAAAAGATAAGTTGGGATGAAAATAATGAAGAGAAGATAAGAATGGAAAGAAATAATGAGCAACTTACAAGGTGTTGTTGTGTTCCTGTTACAAGGAAAGTCTCGTTGAAGACAATTTAATCCTGGGAAGTAACTGTAATTGGAACATAAAGAAAAACAAGGTTAAGAAGAAATAATAAGAAAAAGAAAAGGAATGTTGACCATAGCTCTTTTGACTTTTCATAGCTTATTTGACCCAATAAGCTTTTGAAAAAGCTCCAAAATAAAAGATTGAGTTGAGTTGGGTTGTGAATAAAGATATTTAAGAGTTTACACTACCCTTTACACTCCAGATAAAATTTAAAATAATGAAAAAAGTGGAAACGATAAAATAATTGTTATATATGTGACATGGCATCTTCCAACGTTGACTATGCCTAATAGAAATGAACCAATTTCTAGCAGTTTCCGGGAGTTTATTCTTGTTTACCTGTAATATCCATTGCATCAGATAGATTTGTGGATTGAAAAACTAAAACTTCTCATTTCAGACAACTACATAAAAGCACTCAGACATTATACACATAGACACACAGATCCCAAACATGAAAAAACTTGACTAATTGCATCATACCCAAAAGATTGATAGCCTGAGATTGATTGATAGAACAAATAGACAAGATCAAGAGAGGCACCTGATCATGAAGCGGGCAATATCGACTGAGTCGTTCTGATTAATTCATTTCTGAAAATAAAAAATTCCATGTACCCAGAAGCTGGGACAAAAAAAACTCACCAAAGCTGGGACATTTTCCTACGGAGTGGGTTTGTTTTTACTGAGTGGGTCATTTTTAGGATCCATGACTTCCTCTTTTCTTAATCTTTTTTAAACCTACAAAACTTATGAAAATGGAAGTTATGGGACAACTTAAGGTGCACCATGTGGAAGTTACACAAAGCATTCAATCTAAAAAGAAATATAAAAGAAGCACCTGAATAAAGGTTGCTGGACCACCACATATATCAAAGTACTTCTTTAGGCGCTCAATGTTCTGAGAAAACAAGAAAGATTATTTTACAATATAAATATTTGTAATATTAAAAAAAAAGTGTTAAGTACCTTAGCATTCTTGAAGATGTCATTAGATCCTTCGTTTCTCAACGATTGACCATTTTCATGATTACATTGCAAAAAAAGGAGAAGGGAAAATCATGAAAAGAAAAGACAAAAAATGGTTAAGAAAGTATGTTGAATATACCATTTATACCATTTTCGAAATAACAACACACTTCTGATTTGTTGATTTTTTTTTTTGTTTTAAATAAGAAAGTACGTTACTATTTCTTGATAACACAAGTTATAACAGCCATTTGCGAGGGGCTGCATAGGTTTCTATATCATTGAATAAAAGCACATTGCTATTTCCTTGCATACCCCTCCATTATAATGACTTGATGACAGTTATACCCTCTATACAAACAACAAGTATATACTAAAGGTACATTGATATTTCTTCTAAACACTGTTAAAATCAAAGTCAAACTACAACAAGTACATTGATATTTCTTCTAAACATTGTTAAAATCAAAGTCAAGTTACAAATTACCATACATACTAAAAGAAGTACATTTCAAAGGTTTAAACATATATACTACATCATTAATTTCACTAAAAACACAACAAAAATCATGATTATGAACCACTTCTGAAATCGTAATTTCCTACTCATTTGTGCTAATTCCTTACTTAAACTAATATATTCCTTATTTGTCATCCCTTTGTGCTCATTGCAATCTTTTTCCAAAATTGATATCCTTACTTCAATGGAATCTATTTGTATTTCTGTCTCATCTCTCTTATTCGTGTTTCTTAGTCCTTCATCGCCATTAACCCATTTCCAAAGAGAACAATTTGGTGTGTTTGGATCATTCATATGCAGAAAAAATAAATCAATTAATTAACCAACCAAAGAGGAAAACCGACATTAATTAAGGAAGTATGTGTATAAAAGGTATGATAACTTACCAGTCGGTTGGGACAAATCCTAAAATTTTTTTACAAAATTCTTCTTAGTGGTTGAAGTCCAAATTTGTGATGGGAAACCACAACTACAAGGGTATGAATCATCAACCATCTTATTTGTCTTTGAAACGTTAGAGCTTGAGGATGAAATTATGGATTTGGCAGAACAAGATCAAGCCATCACAGATGCTGAAGAAGGAGACGATGCAGGAGAAGAAACCCAGGAGTGCTCGTCCCTGATTATGAGCAAACGCTCTAATTTGTTTTAAAGAAATACACATAAATGCCATATCATTAATTTTAGGCCACCTCACCAATTTTTTTGATCCTACTCATCAAGTAACCCACAAGAACCGATTACCATTAGATAACATTTGAACAAACAGTATACTTTCTTGGTGTTTTTTATACAACACCCTTTCTTGGATGATATTTTTTGAACAACCAAAACTTCGATGATTTTTTTTGAACAATTATGAAACATTCTTACCCTTATATATCATTTTTCAGGTTGATATCTATCCCTCCTTCCCTCATTTCAATCCATCAACAATTGTCTGGTTGTTCCCTTTGTATAAAATTAGGAAACTGATATTTTCACTTAATAATTTAATCCATCCACATGACGTACAACATTTTTACAGACATGGTACAAGTTGATAAAATATATATTTCAAGTGGATGAATCAATTTATCAAGTGGCGCGTCAGCCACTTCCACTAAAAATTTATTATAATTTGGATATATATGATCATTTTGATACTTATTAATGACGAATATGATAAAGGAGACGACAATCGCTTTCTTATTTTAGGTGAGGTTACCTCGTCATCCACCAACCCACTCACGAACTCACTATCTTCACCAAGTCCTCCAAAAGAAACCAATTGAGGGTAGATCCAATCCATTTATCCAATACCCATAATCACATCCAAGTGAAAATGGTCATGGCAATCGCACTTCGAAGGCTCTGTTCTTCACACATCAAGCATCACTATCTGCGTCGTCCCTCCAATGGATCTTCCCTCGCTTGCATGGTCTGTTTCTCCACCCATTCTTGTAATTCATGGGGTTTTGGTTCTCTTTTCAATCTAATGTATTCATGTGTTTTGTCCAGTCTTCTTTGCCGAATCCAGCAGCTCATGATATCGAAGTATCACGTGTTAATGTTAGTACTCATCATTTACTCAATTGGATTCATTTTTGCGGTGTTACTAGATCTCGATTTTGTCATCTAGGGTTTGATATTCTTTTTGTGATATTATGAATTTCTATCGACAGTGGACGAAGCAATTGAATGCTCCACTTGAAGAAATTGATCCTGAAATTGCCGACATTATTGAGCTCGAAAAAGCTAGGCAATGGAAGGTAACTTTAAACTTCCGTTCCCCAATCTTTCCTAGTTACAGTTGAAACGATTTCCTATTAATTTGCCTCCTTTTGACTTTGAGCATCAAACTTTGTATTTAAGAAAGAAAGCTAATCTTTTTGTTTTTCAGTAATTCATCACCGATCTCTTATTGTATCTTCTGCTCAATCGATTGACAGTTAGTTATCATTAATCAAGATGAATGTTAAGATCGAAAATAATTAGCATAAATAATAGCTTTTACGAGTAATAGTTTGATATGAAAACCACGGTAATTGGCATGTATAGCATACGCATAACATCCGTGATTCCGTGTTAAACTTCACATTTAGAATTTCACAGCATTGACCTCAAAACTCAAGTGTATCTCGTTTTCCTTTTCTTCAATGGAAGAACTTGATCACTCTGTGTCTATATAGGGATTCGAACTCATACCTTCAGAGAATTTCACCTCATTGTCAGTAATGCAAGCTGTTGGATCAGTGATGACCAACAAATACAGTGAAGGTTATCCTGGTGCTAGATACTATGGAGGAAACGAGTATGAAAAGTTCACTTATAGTTCTTGATTTTTCCCTATAACTTAGTGGCATTTACACTCATTCTTGTGTTACACTTTATTTTTTAAAGGTACATTGATATGGCTGAGAGATTGTGTCAGAAGCGTGCATTAGAAGCTTTCAATTTGGATCCTTCAAAATGGGGAGGTAATACATTGAATACCAAGTGATTGACTTTTTTGACCATTTACATTTCAATAAAATTTGTCCAAAATTACTCAATCTCTCAAACTAAAAGTGTTTCTGGCATCTTTACAAAGCCTGTAGTTAGGTTTTAGGGGTTTAGGGATGAATCAGAATAAGATCATTAGATAATTTTACATTTTGTGCTTAAAATGCTTCCATCTTTTTTGCAGTTAATGTGCAATCATTATCTGGATCACCTGCTAACTTTCAAGTTTATACTGCACTTTTGAAACCTCATGAGAGAATCATGGCCCTAGATCTCCCTCATGGTGGACATCTTTCACATGGTTATCAGGTGAAATGAAAACTTCATAAATAAAATGAGCTAAATTTGGTCACATATTGAATGAGATATATTCAAAAAGCATCTCATTTTGATTTTTTTTATGTAGACCGATACAAAGAAGATTTCAGCTGTCTCAATATTTTTTGAGACAATGCCATACAGATTGGATGAAAGCACAGGTTATATTGATTATGATCAAGTAAGTTAATAAGAGTTAGAATGATATTTTGTATTCCTGTGAAGATTATTATTATTTATTTTTCCTCATGAAAAAAGTTTATTGTATGTTGTAGATGGAGAAAAGTGCTGTGCTTTTTAGGCCAAAATTAATCGTAGCTGGTGCAAGTGCCTATGCTCGAGTTTATGACTATGCCCGTATGCGAAAGGTAAATCTTTTCATGTAAAATGACTAATCTACCCTTAAAGATTTCATATTTCCGTTTAGGCCCTCACAAGACAAAACACAGAACATAACAAAATAAAATAATATTTCAAATCTCTCTTTTTTATTTTGACAGGTTTGTGACAAACAAAAGGCTATTTTATTAGCTGACATGGCACATATCAGTGGATTGGTTGCTGCTGGTGTCTTGCCATCGCCTTTTGAATATGCAGATATTGTGACAACCACAACACACAAGTCACTACGTGGGCCCCGTGGAGCCATGATCTTTTTCAGGAAGGGGCTAAAAGAGATAAATAAAAAAGGCCAAGAAGTAAGTTTTGGTTGATGGCAATAAATTAAATATCTTTACTATTATAGCAATGTTTATTGGATAGATTTTTCAGAGTATAATGTTTTACAAGAAACAAATTAAAAACACAATGCCTTAATAAGAAAAGTAATGAAAATAGGTTGTTATTTAGCTTTTACATATGTGTCGATGTGTAGGTGATGTATGACTTTGAAGATAAAATCAATCAAGCAGTGTTTCCAGGACTTCAAGGGGGCCCACACAATCATACAATTACTGGTTTAGCTGTTGCATTAAAACAGGTTTTTTTTTATTCATTAATAATTTAACATTACTTGTCTCTTCTATTAACCCAATTCAATTTACTCATGTACTATATTTGTTGTTTAATTTATATATAGGCTACAACTCCAGAGTACAAAGCATATCAAGAACAAGTTCTTGCCAATTGCAAGAAATTTTCACAGGTTTTACTAAATACATTAATTCATTTTTCTTTCATTCATCAACTTGCATCTAATTCATATTTTATAATAAGAAATTAAAATGTAATTGCAGAGTTTGATAGAGAAGGGATATGATCTTGTATCCGGTGGAACCGATAACCATTTGGTCTTGGTAAATTTAAGAAACAAGGTAATTTCACCTTAAAATTAAATTAAAAATTGCATTATTTCTACAAAAAAAAAAAAAGATTTTCATTCCAACAACACCTGACCTGACCCACACTGTCCTTGCCCCATAAAAACATCATGTGAGATGTAAATCAGGTACACAGTGTGGCCCATATGTGTCATTTTTCATGGGCAATTTAGTAATTTCTTTGTGGATACAGGGTATTGACGGGTCGAGAGTGGAAAAGGTTATGGAGTTGGTGCATATTGCCGCCAACAAAAACACTGTTCCCGGTGACGTGTCAGCCATGGTACCTGGCGGCATTCGTATGGGTAAATTTCACCATCTTCAAATCAGGCTTTTATAAACTCCGAGTCAAAAGTGGGCCCAAAGATAAAAAAAAAATATCGTTACATGTTTATAAATTTTGAATCTTTTATTGAATTAGAAGAAATATTTTTGTTCAGGAACTCCTGCGCTAACGTCTAGAGGATTTCTTGAGGATGATTTTGTTAAAGTTGCCGAATTATTTGATGCTTCTGTCAAATTAGCCTTGAAAATTAAAGCTGCTTCCACAGGTTTGACTTTTAGCCTAGTCCCCATTTATTACACAACACATCATAGACATGATAAAACATGATAGTTCTGTCAAACAAAACTTTTTGTCTCATACAAAAAGGTCTGTGCAAAAGACGTAACTGTAACTGTCTGTTATTTATTTATTTTTTACTTTATATTAAGCGAACATTTTTTTTTTTTTTTGAAAATATGAAATTAATACCAGGAACAAAGTTGAAGGACTTTGTTGCAACTATGAACGGGGATGAGAAATTTCAATCAGAAATTGTAAAGATTCGGGGGGAGGTCGAGGAGTATGCTAAACAATTCCCAACAATTGGTTTTGAGAAGGAAACAATGAAGTACAAAAATTAACAAAAAAAATCCAAACATAGTAAAAACCATCGGTTGGATTCTGGTTTTGGAGAATTTAAGGTTGTTTGTCAAACCTGTTTGTGGTTTAAAGTTGTGCACATGGAACCTCGGGAGATGCTAAGATTCGTTTTGGAGGTTTGGCCGTAATCGAGAGTTCATGTTTTTCTTGTTCGTCAGTTTGTGTAAAATGGATGGTGGTTCGGTTCTTTATTTTTATATGATAAGAAATAGATTTTGCTTGTTATGAGTTTATTACAAGATGTTATTATCGACAATCACACGTATAGTAATAAATGCACACTATAGAAAAATTGAAATTTATTAAGCTATTGTAGTTCTTGCTAGGATTATTATTATATTTTGTTATTTGTTAACTTTGTGTTGTTTATAATCTAGCAAATGTACAAGGTTTTTTTGGTGACATGGTATGCATATAGGAAAAATACATGGTTTTTGAATATACATTTTTATCCGATCAAATATCGTTGAGGGGAATTCACCTAGGTATAGGCGTATAGTGATAATGAAACTTGGATTTAGGGCGTTATTTTTCACCCTGTAGTTCTTCATGTCATGATCAAACTAAGCTTATACAAGTATACGATTTGCACCTTGTTATTTGTATTTAAGCATAGGTGGTGTCATTTTCGTAAATATTTCCATTTTTGTGAACATCTGTACATTTTCACCAAATGTTTTTTATATAAAAATATTGAGTTTAAGGATAGGGTAATATATGTTTTTTTTTTTTTTTTTGGGTGTAAATATAAATTTTGTTTATCAGTTATAACATTTTTATTGTCCATTTTTATCTCTTATAGAGCTTTATTTCCTAAAACCAAAATTGGTTTTCATGAAATTAAGCAAGAACATTGGTTCACATTTACTCCATTTGTTTCTTGTTTGTTGAGCATCTTCTTGTGTACCTTTTTGTGTATCACCATTTTCACCAATACCAATATCATCATGGAACAATTTCTTGTTGCATGATGACGCTCCGTCCCTCAACAACACCTTAATTCATGGCTGGCAATTGGCCGCATATCATCCCTTAACACTATGGTAAATTGTCCTACTTGGTCCCTCTCCTCAACCACCATCTCATTGTCATCCTCTACTTCATGCGTCCCTTGAAGAGGCCCTCACTCTCATCTAACTCTCTAATGATCACATGATGAGGGTTATTAGGAGACATGTAATAGGTTAGTACGAAGATCCTCTGATGCTCTGTATACACTTTTATAAGCTTATTTGCAGCAACATA